CTCGGATGGTGCCGGGCGAATTTCAGTGCATCATGCCTGTCAAGTGGCCAAAATGCTTGACTTGACTCCACCACCTTCATGCTTCCAAGTTAGTGTTTAAACGCCTCGTCGATTTTAAAAAAGAAATAAAATTTTTATGCCAAAATCACTCGAAACTAATTATGGGGATCCCATTTTAGCCGTCGCTGGGAGGCTTCCACACTTCAGTCGCAACTGTGCTAAGCCATTTGGTCTTGATTTTGAATACTTCCAGTTTACTATTCATCGTTTTTTTTTTCGAAATAGGTGCGCCATCACTTCAGTCCGAGTAGCTTTTATGTTCTGGATGATATTTGACCTTCACCCACTCATAAAGTCTTATTTTCTGGCATGGTCATAATGATATCCTGCGGCAGTTTGTCTAACAAAATTGCTTATGAGGTTCAAAAAAAAGCTTTGTGCATCGTTCACTCCATCACTCTGTCCGTCACAACGAATATTTGCTCTTCTCTTTCGTTTGTCACCACTTTTCATTTAAAGTTAAGTGGAAATTTTGTTAAAAAACGTGGAAATGGATGATAGAAAAGGTCAAAAAAGAGTCAAAAAGGGAAAGATGTAAAAAGAAGTAATAAATTAGGTAAGAAATGTTTCGTTCCATTAAGTCGTATACATTTCTTACCTTTACCACAGTTGGACCCCCTATACATTTCTTACCAGATATCTCAGCATAATATTATTGAAGAGATGAGCACAGTCGTTCCAATTTGGTATTTTAAATTTTTTTTTTTTGGCGTTCTGGAACTTGCACAAACTGACAGTTGCATTTTCCTGCTAGACATTGTGTCGCATATTCACTTCCCAGCCAATGCACCTGTAATAGCTAACTTTTCGAAGTCCTTGCTTTCTAATTGAAATTGCGCCGCGGGCATATCCACTTTTCGCAGCGCTTTTTGCAACTTCAGGCTTGCTTCGTTCTTGCATTAAACAGACGGCTGCAGCAGTTCATTCATCCCCCGAGCATTGATCGCGTTGTGAACTGCATCAACCAAAAAGCGTAGGTGATTTAGCTGCTCGCCGTTGATCTACACGACTACCATTTCAAGCTTGCTTCTGAAATATCATCGAGAGACAGGCCATGAAAAGCGAGGATGGTGTAGAATTCCTTGGTTCTTTAGATCGGAATACGGATTAGTGTAGGAAGATTATTATAACTGTTGAACAGCTCATTTTTGCTTCCGTTTGCTTCTACTGTTCTCTGCATCCACAAGAATTCTTTGCATAGTACTCATTGTGACTTTTCGAATGCATTTTCTTCGTAAGGGATGAACGGGAAACGTAAACAAGTTCCGTCAACTGGCGTAGGACAGTTTAGCAAATTTTTTTTCATATGTCTTTGCGCTGAACTTTGCAATTTAAGGTGCGATTTAAAGGCTTCAAAGGAGTGCTTTGTGTTGATCCGTCTCTGGATGCTGCCGGCGGGGAGGATGTTGTATTTCGACGAAGCCAAAAGAAATTTGATGAGGATGAACAAAATCCTGCCGAACTGGAAGTGGTCAAATATTCCATGCCTTCACCAGTTTGCTTAAATCGACCTTTAATTATGATTTTAGATCAGGTAACAATTCTTCCATGCTTGCCAACAAAAGATCGTTATTTTTTCAACTTTGAGAGAAACTTTTTTTAGAATTATTATGCGTTTTTGTGCTGTGTAACAGCGCTACAAAGCGCATATTGTCACGGGGTTGTCTGTGCGTGTGTGTGTTTGTGTGTGTGTCCCACATTTTGTCCCGCACTTTCAACTTGGGAACCACAAAAGCTAGGCGGCTGAAATTTTGATATATTGTTCCCCGCCAACGGGTGACGCGGCAAATTTAAGTTCAGCCTTCCTTTACCCGCGGGTAACGCGTGCGGCCCCGCGAAAATTTTTTACGGGTAAATTAATATCTCAGAAACCACGGAGTCTAGAAGGCTAAGATTTTTAGGTAATGACTCCCTGCCCACGCTCAACCTTGCCCATTCAAATTCAGCCTTCTCTTACCCGCGGGTAACACATACGGCCCTGTGAAAGTTTTTTACGGGTAATTTAATATCTCAAGGACCACGGAGTCTGTGAGGCCGAAATTTTAGGGTAATGACCCCCTGCCCACGCTCAACCTTGCCCATCCAAGTCCAGCGTTCCCGCGCTCTCGGGTATCACCCACAAGCTAGCGAAAGTTTTTACGGGTAAATTATTATCTCGGGAACCACTGGATCAAGGAAGCTGAAATTTTAGGATAATAATCCCTGCCCACGCGCAACCTTGCCTATTCAAATTCAGCGTTCCCTCGCTGTTGAGTATCACCTACAACCTCGTGAGAATTTTGGCGGTTAAACTATTAACTCGGCAATCACGGAAAGATATTCACCCTTCAAGGTTTCGAATTCAGCTTTCATGCGCTGGTGCGTGAAATT